TTGCAGAAATAACGCAGCCCACTTTCATACATATCGTCAAGGATCCATTTGGAGGAACCAGAAAGGAAGTTATTTAGTCAAAGCCTGAATATTATAATTTATTAATTGGCAAAGCCTTTCCTGTGAGCTAACCCTGACCTAGGAGATGCCTATGGTATGATTACCTATATTGTGCTGCATTGATGGAACGGCTTGGACTAAGTTTCTACTGTTACAGAGCATTGAGTTTGGGTATAAAATAAAAATGACTAGACATTACAGTGCTGTGCAGGAAATATCCAGAGGGGACACGTCTTCTGTTGGGGTCTCTTGAGGTAACATCAAAGCTGGAATCTCTAGGGGATGTCCGGGCTGTGGCAGGAGGTGGTGCAGCACAGGACAGAACACAGGAAGGCAGCAGAGGTGAAATCACCAGGTCTTCATGGAACAGAGGCAGTTCCGAGGAGAGTTGGAAGGTAGCAGAGAACCTACAACTCAGCTTTTGAAAACCCCTCAAGACTTGGCTCTCCCTGCCTAGACTGAGAAAGTGGGGCCGGTGTGTGAAGAGCACATTCTTAGTACACAGATCAAAAGCCTGGGCTCTTTAAATTTTGAAAATAAGAAACTTTTGAAAAATGTTATTCTTTGTCATTTTCAGCCAGAAAAGTCAAACTTCTTTTGGTACATTTGTGACATTATTTTGTAAGCTATAAACGTTAAACCAAAACTTAAATTTTGTCTACTCTGTTTAGACAAAAAGCTAGATAGAGTTTCATGTCAAGGGAACAAGAAGAAGAAAAGATGCAACAGGATGAAAAAAATAGGTATTTGTCCTTAGAACAATAAAAAATATTTTTTCATTTGTGCTTTCTGTTAATATATTAATGTGGAGAATGAAATTAATTATTTTTGTATTTTTATGAATATCTCATCACCTTTTATATGACTCATAGGGAGTGGTGACATGGCATAGTTAATAAACTCAGAGAAAAATTAATATCCATTAATGTAATAAAACTGACAGAAAAAAGAATGTCTCTGATATCTAGAGGGAGGTTGCCTTTATAGAAAAATTAAATGAAGAATCTAATTGTCACCAACACTTTTGCCATGGACATCATAAAATTGTTATTATTAGTTCCGGGTTTGAAAACCATACTTTGGATTCAAATTACTTTCAAAAATCTCTTTCTTTTCCTGGATTTTGCTATCATAATTTTTTTAAGGGGGTTTCTTAAGAAAAAAACATGTTTTAGTGTGGCAAATTCACCTCTTCTTCTCCATGACAACAGATAAAGAAGTTGTAACCATGGCAACAGTAATGGGCCAGAGAGATTAGGGCCAGCCTGGAGATTAGACCTCCAATAGCAAAGAAAAGAAGTCCTGATTGCTTCCTTATTGAGACCTTATGTGAAGACAAGTTACTGTTGAGAGAAAGCATGGAGGATTAGTAAGGACAAAATTAATGCCCCCGTATAAAGGAAGAAGCCTTTCTTTTGTCAAAAATGTGCCCCTTCCTTTTCATGTAAGGACTGTTTAAATTGAGGTAAAGAGTCCCTGATTAATTCTATTCTGAGCCTTATCTGTGCCATCCGAGAGGTGTCCAGACAAGCAAGCCTTGGGAGGAGACACAGGCTGCAGCTTGAAGACAAGAGCTCAGTGCCCTAACTCCTTCTTGTCAACCCCTGAATGGTTGAAGAAACCAACCCCTTGTTAGTGAACTGCTCCTGAGGAAAAAGAATTCGAAAGTTTCCCTCCTATTGTTTTAAAGCATTTGTGTAACATCTTGAACCTTCTCAAAAAGATTTCTCCAAGTCATTACTAATCACATTTGTTTTTTCAAAAATCTCTTGTGAAAAGATCTAGTAAATAAACATTTTCTTTAAATTTCTGAACTATGTAAGTATTACATTTTGGGAAAAAAGCATGTTGTGATTTCAGATTGATGCAGTGGTAAAAGGGGACATTTGTTATTTTGCAAGTGACACATTTATAGACCTGAGCATATTTGGCCAAATGATCTGAATATTTTTCTTGTTTAAGGTTTTTGCCAAATTGACTGCTGTAAAGGATTTTCTCTTACAAAACTCCCAGTGGATGGCATAACAGAGTGCCATACCCTTGGCAACACTAAATACTACCAGTCCTTAAGATCTTGCTACTCTGAAAGATTTTTTTCTCATAGACATCATTATGACAGGTACTTTTAGATTTTATTTTAATGTGTATTTCTTTTTGTCAGGTTAATTCTTCATTATTTTATTGATTTTTATACTTTTTCTATAGCATCAATGTTAACTATTGTCTGTTAGATAATTTGCAAAGTACTTTGGGTCAGTCTTCATAAAAGGAAACACACCTAAACTCAGTCAAGAGGGAAAATAGGGGGCCTCCCTGGTGGTCCTAGGGATTAAGTGTCAGCACTATCACCAAAATGGCCTGAGTTTGAAACCTGTCCAGGGAGCTACCCACATGGTCCAGCAGACCTCTACTGTCTCACCCACTGCTCCCTTCAGCAGTGTATTTCAGTAGTTCCGCCTGTTCTGCCCCCCACTCTGTCTCTGGTAATTCCTCTTACCTTCCTTGTACCCCCGTCACCCCTGTGCCTCTGGCCTTTACCCAGTTCTCCTACACACACACACACACACACACACACAAATAAATAAAAGAGGGAAAGTAGGGGTTAAGTGAACCAGAGGAGCAAGTTAACAGTGAGAATTGCTGCAGAGGATCAGCATGGAGAGAGCCTGCTGAGTAAGCATCACCTCCCCACCCCCAGAGAGCCACCTTATAAGCTCCATGTGGACAAAGGCCTCACACGTTGTTCACCACCCTCTTCTCTGTGCCTAGAAAGGCTGACATGGAAGAAATCCTCTAGGGATATTTGCTGAGTAGTAGAGCTAAGGAATGCTGCTTTCTGTGGACACCTGTGTGCCTCTGCCCAAAGGTGTTTATTTTTCTGGCAACAAGAGCACACTGGGCTTTCCTGTGGGAAGCTTAATGCCACTGGAATTGTCCTCAGGCAACAGCAGAGGAGGAATGGTAGATAAATGCCCCAACTTGCTTCCTGGGGAAAGATAACTCAGAGAACTGTGCTACATTCTCTCCCAGAGGCCTCAGCACAGTTGCCCTTCCATCTCCCACAGTGATAATCACCAGCAACACTCTCCAGCCTTCCCTCCCTGCCCAGTCTCACTCCCTTCTCCCACCAGCATTTCCAGGGATTACTTTCCAATGAAAGTATTTGCACTTACATCCTTTTCTCTAGGCCTCATTATAGAAGAAGCCTGACCGAGAAGGTTGGGGTTTCCCTGAGGTAAAGAGTAGACTCTGAGGATAAAGAGTAACATGAAATGACCAAATATATCTTGTTATAAGCTTATTCTTCTGGATGTTACACAGATAGTACACTTAAGAGAGGTGACTGGAAGGAGAGCACAAGATCTGGAAAACCACTGTGGTCATCCTAGTGAGGGAGAATGGTGGTGTGGTTGTGTGTGGCAGTGGGGATAAAATAGATTACCCAGTTGTCCCAAAGGGGAACTCCTAGAAGAATTGACTGAGGGAGAGTCAGGAGGAGAGACTGCATTTTGGGTTTTAGGATGGTACAGTTGGGAGGACTGGGTAGTCATCACTGAGTTGAGCAGCCCAGGAGGAGAATCAGGCTGAGGGGCAGTGAGGGAGAGAAGAAGGACACATTTACTTCAGTGTGCTAGTTTGGGCTGTCTGTGGTCTAAGGTTTTTGTCAAGACTCTTAATATCACCCATATTTTTGAGAGAGACACTATGTATCTCAGCATCAATCTTACCCCCACCTCTCAGCCACAAAAGGTTGACTAACTTGTAGTCACTCATCCATTTACTTCAATACTATGCTGATCTTAGAAGGAAAGGGGGAAATTTTACCTACAAAGGAGTCAGCTAAGAATCTATGAAGCCAGAAATAACTTTGAAAGCTTTCTGTAGTTCTTCAAAATATATCTTTTTAGAGCTGGTATGTATTGTAAATTGATAATGTTTTTCTGGAACTATTGAATACCTCCCATCCTTCACCAAATGGCTCTTCCAGCTAGAAGGAATTTAGTTCAAACAGGAGGATCGACTCAGACAGCCCCTGGAGAAAGTGATTGCAAGACTGAAGACTAACTTTGATATAAAGTAGAGAAGATGGCCTGCTAAAGTCAATTTGAAAATTAAATGAAGGCAAATGGGTACTTCTGATGTGGGTTTAGAAACCACCTGTCAAAATGAAACACATATTTCCCTAGTCTTGGGGGTTTCAACAAATATAAAGGACATTGCTATCCAGCGAAGAAAAATTATGGATTCACACATACATTCTTAATAAAAACTTCTATTATGGATTGTAAATGCCCTAAATGTTTGAAAAAACAGTTTTCAATTGTGATTATTCAGTCATTCCTATGAATAACATTTGTTAAATTCTGCTGTAAATGCAGTGGTGCTCTGTAAGTGTGTTACATGTGTCTGCCTTTTACGACTCAGAGTATATTTTTCTTTATTAACAGGTAGAACATGAAAACTCTTTCCACTTTTTTGTGAGCCTCATTCAAATTTTACTTGCTGCTTTTAATTTTCTGTGTTCTTAGAAAATGCATGAACTAGCTCCTTCAAATTGAAATCAAAGCAGTATAAATTTTCCCTGAGTAGAATAAAGTTTGGTATAACTACTTGCTTACCTGAAGCATGTACATTCATGTCTGTTTCCCTGTGTCATACCTTCACAAAACATTTTTATTACCAGGGATGCCATAAGTAATCAAAGCTCGATAAATATGCAGTAGAATTAAATATGCTAACAATTAGTCACACTTTTTTTTAACCTCCAAGTAATTCTGATTTATCTCTGATTCCATTTGCTGCTTCTTTGTTTCCCTTAATGTTTATTTTTTCCTTTAGCTCCTGTGTGAATGCGGCAGTCCATTTGCTAGTGGGTGTGCTTTGCCATCTTGTACCTGCCTGGCTGCAACCTCTGATCGACTCCTCTCCTTTCTCCTTAGCTTTTCCAAGCTCCAGTGTCCCTTCTGCTCCCAGAGATGTGGTCCCTGTCTTGGTTTCCAGTCGGTTTGTCCGTCTCAGCTGGCGCCCACCTGCAGAAGCAAAAGGGAACATTCAAACCTTCACTGTCTTTTTCTCCAGAGAAGGTGACAACAGGTAGGTACTAATCTGCCCATCCATTTAAATGTATGCTGTGGGGTAATGGAGGTAGGAGATAATTGAGTAGGGACTTTGGAGATCACGTGAAATCTCTACTCTGAGCCTTCGCTTATCATGGGGATAATATATCTATCTCTAGTATGGTGTTCAAAAGCAGAGTGTTTATGGAATAATTTAATCCTTTCAAAGTGATAAAACAGGCAAACACCAGCTCCACGGGTCTGCTTTCCTACTATGGTAATTCATTAACTTTGTGACTAGCATATTCAGGCATAAAAATATTAAAAACAATAAAACATATTTTGAATGATTTACCCAATGTTTTAGGTGTGCTGTATAACACAAGGATTTTTTACATAAGACTGATTTCTCCATGTTGTTGGAAATTGAATTTGATAATATTTATTCGATACACACATGATTCCTATCATCATTATATATCATTATTCATAAACATTTGAACAAGTACGTTTGAATATGTGGTCAGTCTTTGAAAATTTTTTATTTAAAATTGGGCATAAGGCCACTCTGTAAAGATATAAATTAGAAATTTCAATATTGTCTCAAAATTAAAGATGATCAAAGTGGTCAGCATGTGAAAGTTCAATTTATTTAGAGAAAGACTATTTTGCCAAATATCATAATTCTCTAAAGAAGAACCCCTATTTATGGATGTACTCAACAGACCTGACTTGTTCCTCACACAGGGAGGTAACATCAAATTTACATTCTTCAATACATCATGATTTTGACAGTGCAGCTAGGACCTTTGTAGAGCATGTCTGTTCAGGTGACTGAATTCAGAGCTCCATGTCTTCAACCTCCTCATATATCATCAGTCAACAGTGGGCACCCATTGGTAGGCAGGAGTTTCTGGGATTTAGCAGCCTCTTCTTTATCCTTGACTGAGAACTACATTCTCTTTCTCCAATGTATACCAGCCAAGATAATGTGACCTGCTGTACTATCATGTATGTGGAGTTATTGGAGGTGGTAGTGGCATGGGTGGAAGTAAAAAGTGGAAAGTGAGAGAGAGGGAAAGACAGACAGAGAAAAAGGGTATATGCCCTGGTGGAACCCACTAGTACCCAGGGTTGAGCTGACGGTAATCCATGCTATCACCGTTTACTGTTCTGGAGAAGAAAGGACTAGATGACTGTCACAAATATGATGCTGTTGAAGTGCTAACAGGGCAGTGTGGGAAGAAGCCTGGATTAAAGTGTGAAGCTTCCATGTCTCTCAAGTGTGTGAGTGCTTTAAACACAGAGTGATCTTTAGGAACCACTCAGCATTCAAAGGGGACAATCACAGCCAGGCTGACTGGAGTGGTATTTAGCTTTAAACACTGTGCTGTGATAATCAGATGAACTGTGATAATCAGTAGAATTTTGCCATGCTGCCTCTCAAAATGCGTTTCTTTTCATTTGGCAGCAGCCATTAAAGTCATCTATTTTAAATTTCTATTTTCTTTTACAATTTGACCTGGCTTTAAAGTGAGAGAAATACACCTATACATCTAGCCTGTGTTCCCTAAGACCATTCATTACCCTGAAGAAGCTGCCATGTGTTTTAGTCTTATCTCGGCAGCTCTTTAACTCTGTAACCTTATGATGAGTCTTACAAATTTGTTGGCTCTCAGAGTGTGCAGTTGTGAAAACTAGAAGCATTCATTCTTGACTGGTTTTCTTCGTCAATTCTCAAGGAGTTCCTGGAAGCACCTTAAATTCAAACCACACAAAACCATACTCTCTGTCTCCTCCTTAAATGTCTTTTTTCTCTTTTTTCTTGGTTTATGTTAGTGCTTTTCATCCTGTTGACCAAGCAAAAAACTGAAGTCATATTTTACTCCTCCCTGCCTCAGAGTTCTGCCATTCATCACCAAGTCCTGGCAGGTCTACCTCTGCCACAGCTCACCCATGCCCCCTTTGTTCTTATTATCTTCACCATCACTTACCTGATCTCTGACAATAGCTTCTCATCTTCTAATCCATCCTCCTCACTGTCTCCAGTTATCTTTTTGAAATACAGCTTAGATCACTCCCACCACTGCTCACGAATGTGAACATTCTTACATTTAAATTTGATAAAATTTCTTTATGAAGATGCATGCATAATAACTTTCAAACTCCTTTAATTGGAAGGTTATTTCCAGTCCTTCCATAGGGAGAACACGGTTCCTATAAGCTCTGATGGTAAAAATGTACCATTTGACTCCAAGTTGGCTAGATTTAAAAATAGTACTACTATTTATTATATGTGTGACTTTTGTGTATTTAATTATGTAAAATATAGAAATATTACACCTGTCATGTTGGACAAGGGAAACCACATTCTACTTACCAGGATTGCTGTGATAATTACTTTGTTTTATTTGATTTGTGCTTTTTAAATTAGTTTTTTACATCATCGTTATGCTATGAGAGTTAATTGAAAGAATTCAAATAAAACACCCAAAGCAGTCACTGCACCTGGGCAGATGGGAGATCGGGGTAGGGAGCTCAGAATACTGTGAGCTTGGAGACAGTGGGGCAGAGAGGCTCAGAAGGTATCAGCAGTAGTACTGCAATTAGTAACAATACATTGCTGTTTTTTTGGTTTGAACCATTTTCATATCTGCTTACTTTTCTTACTTATAATAGCACTGAATCCTTTCCTCATCAATTAAAATCTTATCTTTCAAGTCCCAGCAAGGGTCCGTCTTCCATACCCAATTCGCTAGTCACTCTCTGAACCAATCACTGTAACCTCTCTGTGATCTGAATTTTAAAAAAGTTTTTTTTTTAACTATGCCATGTTACTTTAATAGAAAATTATTCAGTGAGAAATATGCTATTTATTTCAAATTAAATTCAGTTATACATATTCATTGATTTGGCCACACCTTGATATATTCTGAATATTTAAGTTGATCCAGTGAATTTCATTGTTTTTCTAAAGCCACATTCCTAGTGCATCTTCTAAAATACCAAATTCAGGTTTTAAGATGGAGTGTAAATCAAAAGAGAAATACAATTATAGAATCCTAATTTTTTTATCATTTTATCAAATTTTTTGCATAGCACTCAACTCATTTTATGAAACCTTTAAATGATGTCTTTGGGACTTTGTATAGCATTCAACTTAGACCTCATAGAAATGAACATTTTTCACTTGAATATTTTAACATCTTTTTGAGGGGGTGGGGGTAAGCAAATATTGTTTAATTTTTTTTTTTAAATGATAACTGTTAAAAAATTAAAAATTAAAAATAAGTAAAAAAAAAGTTTTTAAAATGAGGTACAGTGGGTTACAGCACTATGTAAGTTTCAGTAGGAGAGCTTCACATCTAATCCAATGACAGCCGCACCCACTATGCCCCCCACGTAAGTTCTAGTTGCCCCCCACTGTCATACAGTCAGCCATGGGTCCACTTATGTCACTGCCCTACCATCATCCTCTCTGGTTTCAGGCATGGTGCTCTCACCTCATGCTGAAGACTCTTATCTCCCTGTCTTCAATTTAGAACTTAAATCAGGCCAAAATTTTGACCCCACAATTCATTGACTCTATGGTGTTTTCATCATCCTTCATTCTGCATGTTTTCCTTCACTTTTGAAACAGTTAAAATTGCATAGTCAATTATTACAGACACAGACATAAATCATAATTGCTATCTCATTTCACATTAATTTCTTGGCAAAGAACGTCAAGTAAATGTAATTTTCTACCTACTCTTTAGTCACACGCTTGTGGCTGAATATAGCTAGAGGGAAATACAAATAATACTGTCTAGTCTTTAAATTCATCACTACTCATTTCAAGTTGCCCTTAATTCTGATGGAAATTATGTTGCATATATCAGCCAGTTTTTCTCACCTACGCTCCTAGTGAATTTCTTCTCAAGCTTCAGTACTTCTCATTCTTTGTTCACCTTGCTGGTATCAAGGTTTGCTGGAAAATAGTAGCAGTCAGAAGAGGAGTACTTCAAACCCCTATATCTGACTCCTCTATCTACCCAAGTGTGTCTTTAAGCATAAAATCGTTTTTTGCGTAGATTTCCATAACAGAACTGCTCATGCTCTTAAGTGAGACCAAATTTTCACTTACGCACTAGAGCTCATCCTTTCTTGCAAACAGAAGAACAGAGCTTTGACATTCTTCCTTCTCGTCAGCAATTCCCCCAGTTCAGTGGATCATGCCATCAGCACAAGCATGAAGTGATATCTTCCATCTTGGCAGATGCTCTCTGGATCCTACTCTTCCCTCCTCTCCTACTCATTCTCTGTCCCCTTTTGTAGCAACATTCCTTGAGCCACTTAACTTTATTCCAATAACTGACCTCATATTCCAGCCAGAATTTTGTCCCTAGTATTTAACTGTAACTGCTCTTACCAAGGTTCACAGGTTCACAAGTGGCCTCCATGTCATTAATGCCTGTTCTTCATTTGACTTGCAAAATTAGCAAGTTTTGTCATATTTGATCACTTGCCTTTTCAGAAGAATCATATTTCACACAGGTTCTACTGCACTCACTCTCCTAGTTCCACTTTGGTCCCTGCTGTCACTCATTTACAATCTCTTTTACTCCCAGTAGCCCAGCTGTGTGAGTATTGGATTGCCCTAGGACTCAGGCTTTTTATCTAGTTTACAGATTCATGGTTTGTCAAATAGCTAATGTCTTCCATATTGGTATCTCTCGTCCAGACATTTTATCTGCAACCTCATCATATATTCCAATTCCTACTGATTTCTCAGCTTTGATGTTTTATGAAAATCTAAAATTTATGAACAAAACCAAATGTCTATTTCCCTCAACTTTATCCCCCAAATATTTTATCATTCCAGAGGTTCCTTCAACTCAGTGAAGTCTTCATACGAATCGTCCAAATTCTTGTGTGATCCTTAATTCCTTTCTCTTTCTCATATGTAATACCAAATTTAACATCAAGTCTTAAAAGTACTGTTAAAATATATCCCAAATTTATGAAATAATGCAATACAAAACAATAGTGAAAAAC